CAAGCTGACAACGAGGGAAAGTGAAACCCCACATAACACCAGAAATATCACGAGACAACTAAACTGAGATGGAAGCAGACTTTTGTTGAGTTTCAAGTTTGCAGATGGAAGGACAGTTTATCTCTTAAAATATATCTCCATTTTGTTTCTTTGCTATCAATTAACGTCGTTCAGCACCGTGCCATGAAGTCATTGGACAAAAACACAGGAGGAGATTATTTTAACCTTAATAAAAATAACAAAAGTAGCAGCCTGGATATCTAGACAAAACGTAGCAGTAGCAAAAGATTTTTCTCTGCAGGTTGATCTAGTCGTGCTCCATTGTAGTCCCAGCAGGTCTACCTTACCGTTCAGCTGAATGTAGGCCAGGCCAATCACAGCGCTCTGTTTGTAGAAAGGCGTTAGGAGGGCTTAGCACTGTTACTGTCAGCGTTTTTGTTTTTTAAACAAAGATAGCAGAGCTGTGATAGGACAAACAACAACGATGGAGCTGGTGCAGAAAAAATTCTCTACTGAAAAGGCATCGGCATCAACTTTGGAAGATTTGGGGCTTTTCTTTCAGACAGACAGAGGTACTTCTGTGACCAAGTACGGTGGACTGCCCTGTTGACTGATTCCCATTTATGACTGATATAGTCATGAATATATGACGTTGTCCGTTGCCCTGATTGGTCCTAGCGCTATCCAACTGCATGCAGAAACAGTTCGAAAGACCATAGATTCAGCCCCAACAAATGAGTTATGTGTGTTATGGTCAGACTAATATATATATATATATATATATATATATATATATATATATATATATATATATATATATATATATATATATATATTGCTGTAAAGGTAAAACACTGCTATATATTCATGCATATACTGAATAGGATGGCTCGTCAGGTTAGAAAAGAAGCTCAAAGGACATAAATTCACACATTAATGCAGTTACTGAACTGATTTAGACCTGACGTGAATGCAGAGACAACATTCAGAACAGGGCAAATTGCAAACCTAAAACTACAAACAAAGGTGGAGTAAATAACCGCCACAGTTTGATAAATAACAAAATAGGGCCTGGAGTGAGATGCAAAATACAGACTAACAGAAAAAAAAGATAAGAATTGATGAAATAAGAGACATAAATTAGACTGAATTTAACAAGAAGCATGAATATTAAAGTTTATCATTAGAACAAAGCACAGCTAAAAATACAGGAACGCCTTGACTAAACTCTACAGTTAGCTGCTAAATCTGTCACTGGCGTATTGTTGCAGGGCTAAACTAAAATTCTTCCTAGACAATAGAAAAGGGTAACGCTATTTTCTTCTGTGGCATGACGCTCCCTGATTATGCAGTTATTTTTACAGTTATACAGGCGTTGACATCTGTGGAGCAGGAGCTTTGTTTAGGTTTGGTGTTGGCTCTACGTCATGGCCAGAAGAATCACCCCTGTGGTGTGAGCTGAGAAGCTGCAGGTTAAGGCCATGCAGGGAAGCCAATTATAATGTGTAGTGTGGGAAAACACATCATACAACATACATAGCTAACCCCGCAAGCCTGTTATAATTGTCAGGCAGCAACTGGTGCATTGCTAATGTGCTCTGTGCAGAACATCAGCTCTGCATGCTTCCAAGTGTGTAAGTTTTCAGACAAGACGTCAGAACAGTTAAGACAGCAGGCGGGTGGTGAACCGAGGAAGATGCACGTTTAGATTTTAGATCAACATATAAACTGTTGCAGCTTGGTTTGGTTTACTGAAATGACACAGAAACAACCATGACTTTGGATCCAAGGTTATGTAACTGGTGTGTTTGTGATTTTATTTAGTTTATTTTATTTTTATTGAATTATTAGAGTGTAGAATGTGTCTTTCTAAAGAGTTAATTTGCATTTGTGCTGGGATTATTTTAATTTTTGACACCAAACAAGTATTTTCGGCTTGTGTCTTTCTGATAGATTTAAGTTTAGACTTAGCAAAATCCATTTATTTCAATAATTTAAATGAGACCATTTAAAGGCTCAGAAACCTTTTGCAGGCGTTTTGGATAATTAGCTGATTAGAGTGTAACTCAGCCTAGAATATTGAATCTTTTGACAATATTCTAATTATATAAGATTTTGAATTTGGTATTTCCACAAGCTGTAAGCCATAATCATCACAATTATAACAAATAAAGGTTTGTAACATCTGGCAGGGCTGCACAGTGGTGAAGTGGTTAGCGCAGTTGCCTTACTGCAAGAAGGTCCTGGGTTCACATCCTGGCCCTACATGGAGTTTGCATGTTCTCCCTGTGCATGTATGGGTTCTCTCCGGGTACTCTGGCTTCTTCCCACAGTCCAAAAACATAACTGTAAGGTTGATTGGCCTGTCTAAATTGTCCTTAGGTGTGTGTGTGTGTGCATGGTTGTTTGTCCTTTGTGTCTCTGTGTTGCCCTGTGATGGACTGGCAATCTGTCCAGGGTGTACACTGCTTGTTTGCATGAAGACTGCTGGAGATAAGCACTAGCCCGCCACGACCCTGTATGGATAAGTGGGTGAAGAATATGGATGGGTGGAACATCTGCCATTGCATGTAACGAGTCTATCTCTGGTCATCTCATTTGTTGTAGAATTTTTGCTGTTGAAATTCAGCTGTTGAATTTTTATGGATGAAAATTGTTGCTGTTGTATTAAGTAAAAAAAATAATAATAATTCAAATACATATTCCACAAAATAAAATGGTGATGTCTAAAAAAAAAAGTTATATTCTGGTGAGACTGCATTCCTCCCATAAAGAAATCAACGTTTGCATGATGCCCTAATTTTTCAAGTTTCACCTGTTCAGCATAACCAACGTTTCTAAGAGCTGTCACTACAGTTTCAATCAGTTAGCCGTCTCATGAACAAGATCGGCCAACAGGAGAATAGAACAAGAGAATTGGGAACGATTGGGCAGTAATATCCACATATTTATAGAAATTTTAGATAATTCAATGTAAGCTTTAACCTGCTGAAACACTGTTGGAGTGGCAACCTTGTACACATAATCTGTTTCACTTTACTAACATGTAAAAGATGACTACATTCAACATTTTATACACTCTAAAATGACAGTTTGGTTCTATTGACAAATAATGGAACATGTCAAAAATAGTCAGACAGATGAAGTAAGGGTAACAGAGTTAATCAAGAATGAGCCAAAAAATCTCACTTCCCCCTCGTTTTCAGGTAAACACAGTTTTCCTGCCCAACTCAGGTTTGTGTACTTACGCAATAAGCATCCTAAGGGAGTCGGAGGCGTACTGAATTTGTATGAACCAGACTCTTTGACATGACAGCAAGTTCACCAAACATAAAAAACAGGCTCACAAACAAGCATCCAGACATCCACAACCCAAGCAAAGTGAATAATTTATCACGGCTTTCCACCAAACTTTACTTTCCCCAGTACATTTATTTACAGGGAAGCAACACTTTTTTGAAAGAGGATGCTTTACAGATAGTTATCAGGTAAAACTAGTGAACCAACATTTCAGCTGCAGGCCTTTCCTAAATGCACACACACATTTTGTTCTCAGAGTCGGTATTCTGAGCTGAACTGTTTTCTTTATCTAAAGGGTTCAGAGTTCAGACTTATAATTGGAGTGGTATTTTAAGTGTCTTCATAACTGAGCAAATATGATCATTAACATCACAATTTGAAAGAACATTTATTCAAACCGTGTTTTCATTGAGGTTCATGTGACCTTTCATGAATAAGATTGGATGTTTTGTTTAATATCCGTCACTTCAGATGGTTTTTTTTTTGGGACTCTGGTGGTTTATTTGAAATTTGAAGTGGTAGCAGCTGGCTGTTTCTCCTCTGATGTTATGAAGCCTTGAACCTCTAAAAGAACCAATTCTGTTGCAAAAAAACATGAGTGTGCAATGAGTGGAAGATCCAGGGGAGTGCGAAGATATGGTGGTTCGGCAAGACCAACAACCGGATTGTCCAATAGTTGCTTTCGGCCAGAAATGTGTTATTAGCAGAGGTTTTTAAACAAATGCGAGAGAACCACTCTATTAATTATTTTCACATTTTTTATAATAATAATAATAATGCATTGAACTTATATAGCGCTTTTCTAGACCCCCAAAGATGCTTTCACACACTCTCACATTCACACACTGCTAGTGATGGTAAGCTACTTGTAGCCACAGCCGCCCTGGGGAGGTCTGACAGAGGCGAGGCTGCCATTTGGCGCCGTCGGCCCCTCTGACCACCACTAATAGGCAAGTTGGGTGAAGTGTCTTGCCCAAGGACACAACAGCAGGATACCCCTGGTGGGAGCTGGAATCGAACCCATGACCCTCCGATCATGAGGCAACCCGCTCTACCACCACAGCTACTGCTGTCCATGAAGATTATATCTTCGCAATATATTGTTAGATCGCTGTTAAAGGTATAGCGGAGGCTCTTTTTCTGCCGGTTGGATACTTTGAACCATGGGTCATAATTCTCAACCCTTCTGATGAACCATTCCCACAAGGAAGTTGTCGTACGTGCTTGTTGCTAGGTAGTTTTCACTTAATGCACAAAGCAAGGGTTAGGCTCCCCGCAGACTCCTCTGTTGCCAGTTCTCTCCTTGAAAAGTAAGCTAAACTTTGGCATGTTATGTGGAGAAATTTATTTCACATTACTGCTAGAAGAAGTTAGCTTCAAGGCCGGCAGCTACTTGCAAAAAGAGCGTGCATGAGGATAACTGGGTGTTCTCTCTCATGCACTTTTTTTTTCAAAACATGGAGAGGCCGGTTCTTTCCTGAAATTCAGAAACATCCCCTGCCATACCTTTAAGAGGCATGAAAAAGATTTCAAAGCTAATTTGCTTTCCAAATTTGCAACAAGAGCTTTAACAAAGGTTCCTTTACTAGATATTTGCACAATTCCCCCCCCCCCCCCCCCCCCCCCAAAAAAGGACTTTTTTTCGTACAAAAAATTAAATCCTGCATAAAACCATCCCACCTCCTGTGCTAGCATCTTACCTGATGCTGCTCATGCTGCCAGCGTCTGATCCCAGCTTGCATCTTTCCAGCTGCGTGGCAACAATCTGACGCTCGGCCTCAAGTTCTCTAGTCAGACGTTCAAACTGAAGCTCCTGCAAAAAGCAAAAAAAATTCATAAATTCTGTGAAGAAAAGTATTAAAAGGCCATCCAGACCTGGTAAAATAACAATAGTAGCTAAAACAACAACTGGCCCAAAGGTGGATTTTGACCCAGATAAATTCATGGATTTACAAAATTGTAAATTCCAGACAGAATACCCCATCATATCAAATGAAGTCACAGCCAGACAAACGTCAGACTCCTCATCAGTAACAAAACGCATTAATAGTAAAACCATGCATTTGATTAGTTCCATGTACAAGGTATTCTATAGGTGCATGCACATGTTTTGTTTGGTCATTTTGAAAATCACATTGGTGCAAAACTATTGATATTTAGACGAAACAGTAGATCTAATTAAATACAACATAACCAAGTGTGTGACTATAACAACTAAAATATAAACATTTGTTTTCTTAAGTGTGTATAGGTTGTGCAGCTGCATGAGAGTTCTGTGTGATGGAGTTCAGTGTTGTTTAAAGTAGAGCTGAAACAACTAATCGATTTAATCGATTATAATCGATTATTAAAATAGTTAACAACTTTTTTAGTCATCGATTAGTTGTTTAATAATCATATTTTACCGCATAAAGTCTATTTTTACCACAATCTGACATCGGTTACAAGCTGTTAAATTTGCCGCCAGTGTGTGGCAGTAATGAGCCACTGATCTACCAGTGGAGCCGTAGAAGAAGAAATGAGCCAATGAGTGCCCTCGGTTTTCATGACGTATCACGTTACTGACGCTCATCTTGCTGTGAGAGATGGCGGAACAAGAGGAAATACGGAAGAAAAATAGAAGCGACAAAACTGAAGAGAAACCCCGGACAAAAACCTCACGAGTATGGGAGCACTTTACTCTAGATGCCTTGAAAAGACGGGTGACCTGTAAAATATGCAAAAACCATCTAGCATAGCACGGAAGCACGACGTCCCTAAGTGAACATTTGAGACGAAAACATGTGGGGGCTGATGCAGCAGAGGAAGAGCACCGCGGTCAAGTGAGCCGTCATTTGGAAGAGCCAGCCCGGTAAGTAACAGAAAATAAACAAGCTGGACTTAGTGTTTTAGCTGAGTTCGTTATACTGGATGTTAAACATGTTTTTTTGCCGCGTCAGTCTACGGTGTTCTACTTCTGATTGACTAGATGCCATCGTGAATGTCCTCCGTGTTGTGAATCGTGCGCTTGCCAAATTCAGCACGTCTGTTTATAAGAATGTTCTCGTTAAGAGAAAAACGGCACAAACCCATAACTATGTTCCTCATTCAAAAAAGGACAACTCCGCGGTGAAAAATTTACAGACGAGCTGTGTCCAGGTGAATATAACGCTGCATAGTTGTACGCTTTCAATTTTTAAATACAGGAGAAATTCAGAAAAAGTCATTTTTTTACTATTAAAAGGCTGTTTTACCGTCTAACGCTGTAAAACGCCTCACAACACATTTTTATCATGTTTCTTAAACAGTATTACACAAAATAAACATTTTTCACATTTCTCTAGCTAATTTAAACACTCCCGACTCAAAGTAAAAACCTCATGAGCTTCTTACTTAGAGCTTTTTAATAGTAAAAAAATTAGAATTTTTTCTGAATATCTCCTGTTGCGGGCTATTTTGTAGAACGTAACCCTCAAAATAAATGATCACTGTATATTGTTAATTAATTCAAATAATATAATATTGATTTAGTGTTGTAGTGTGTGTGCTGCTTTATTTTATATGTGTACTTATTTCAGTCTATTTGTGTTTCTTATGCAGAAAAAAAAACAAGCAACGATGGACAACTACATGGGGAACAAGACACTCACCCCCCAGCAATTCATACCACTTACAAACTCTATTCTAAACATGCTGGTAAAAGACATGAGGCCACTATCCATGGTGGAAGGAGCAGGCTTCCAGCTAATGCTAAAAAATTATTCTGGACTGATATTTTGCACTGTTTAGCTCATTTTATACTGCTGACTGTGTTCATGTGCAATAAAATAGATTGCAGTCAACTGCACAATTCTCTTATGTTTTTTTTCTTAACTGAAATGCATCCATCACTTGTATAGGTTAAATAGCTAAACAATAACAAACCGATTAATCGATTAATCGAAAAAATAATCGACAGATTAATCGATTATGAAAATAATCGTTAGTTGCAGCCCTAGTTTAAAGTGCAGAGTTCATGGCTGCTAATGAGTGCCACCACTCTGGGGAGAAAGCTTGGCTTGCTGTGTTGTGCGAGCCTTGATAAACTCAAGTCTTCTACTAAATGGAAGAGGTGATGTCCAGGGTGAGAAGGAGCAGCTATAATTTGCCAATAATGATTTGCCTGCTGCTATTGATGTCCTAAAAAGGTAACAGAGCACAGATCTGTTTTTAACACTGTGATGCAGTTTGGCTGAAAGGCACTCAGACTAAATGGATTCTGGGTTTAAAGTGGGATGGCCTATGTGTGGGGCTCTGGTTATGTAGACAAGAGGCTGGGGATCAATGATTGTACTACCAAGCCATTTAGATGTTTTTAATTTAAAATTTAAGAATGTCCAAATCTGTATATGAAAAGAAATGAGCCATTAAAAAAACATTAGCTGAAGTCACTTAGTAGTGATGTTGTTTCTAATATATTTTTATTGGTTTTTACCCTCACCAAGCTTTTGATTTTGAAATGTTACATTGTCATAAACTGCCAAAAATTTCACTGCATCAACATGTTAAATCATGTTCTTTTTGTCCATTTACAGCGACCATACAGAACGTCGACTCTCTAAGCTGCAGTTTGAAAGCAGCAGTGATGCATCAGACTGTCAGAGACGAGCCCTGATATTAAACAATGAACAAGGGGTGAGGGGGGTAACATTTAGCAGCATTTGTTAGTAGCCTTGGAGTCTTCTGTTAATCAATCAAACTTTATTTATAAAGCCCATTTCATGCAAAGCAATTCAATGTGCGTCACAATTCCAAATAAACTGCAGAAAGCATAAAATTAATACATTTAGAATAAATCCATATACATGCAGTTTAAACAAAAACAAATGATAATATTAAAACAATAACATTATTTCATACAAAAACGTTACCCTTACCTATTTGATTTGTTAAATAAAAAGGTTTTTAACTTAGAATTAAAAACATTCAAAGTGGATGCTTCTCTAACATCTAAAGGTGTTCCAAACAGTCGGTGCATGTACAATAAAAGCTGTGTCATCTGATTTACATAGTGCACGTGGTACTTTCAAAATGCCACGGTAGGCTGACATGATGATATACAAATACTGCTTCCAAACTCCTAAGGCTCAGACAGCAAATTTTAACTTGATCTAATAATTTTAATGCATTCAAGAAGGATTGACTACCTTGATCAGGATTTGTGAAACAAAATACTTTTATTTAGTAAAACTCTCATTACTTAAAACTGTGATTCAGTGTACTTGATTTCTTTAAAGAATGTTTTTTCAAGGTTTTTCCAATTCCATGATTGCATTTGGAAAACATTTTCCAGACAACGTACATTTAAAAACATGTAAATGAGAGACAACACAAACAATCCTAAATGTAGGTTAAAAGAACCAAACATGAATAATAAAAACTACAGAAATCAACAAGATGAATCTGTTTTTGTGTCCTTTTTTAAGTTTGGTAAATCATTTTCTTGAGCCATTTTTTGCTAAATTGACCCTTACAGGATTAATGAAAGGCCACCCAGCCCCTATCACCCCCTGTGGCCAGAATATCCCACTTGCAACTTCAGAGTTGCCAGTCCCGTCTGACTTAGAAAAAAAATAGAGCTGACATACCTGTCGCTGCAGTCCGCCCAGCACATCTCCTGCATGTTTTAGATCATTAACACAGCTGATTTGTTTAATTTAGTGATGAGCCACTCTTGTAGGCACTAAGGAAGACTGGAGCTGTTAGATTAAGGTGTTAAAAAGACCAACACACAGCGAGGAGATAGGTTTTGCTTTTTGTTCTACAAACGGACACCAGGGGGTGCTAAAAGCAAGCCAACGCTGCCTAATTCCCTTTTGGAATAAAAGCATAGCCATTATATTAAAACCTAAGAACCTCCCGACAGTTACATTTTTAGCAATTAGGGGGCCTTCAACAGTGGTAACATAATGATGAGAAGCTTAAAAGGTGATAAGGTTAGCAGGCAAAACATCCTTCAAAACTATGTCATTAATATAAGCATAAGGTTGTAGATTCATGTAGTATTTTTTGTGCTTTACATCTGTGATGTTTCTAAAAGGTCTTATTTACCTACTGTCATTTTATAATGTGTTAAGGGCCAGAGGCTTTTGTTATTATTTCCTGACACACAAAATCACTGAACTGAAAGAAAGTGTCTGCTTACTTTTCACACAGCTAACTAGTCCCCAGTCACCCAGGGTGTGAGACGATGCAGGAAAACAGCAGACACCTCTGAGAGGTGAGAGCAGTTTGGGGACTGTGCGGGAGGAGGCAGGACACAACGTTTAATGCCTGGTGGTTTTCTACTACCATGTTAGAGTTTCTCTACAGGGACTAAGACACCTTTCTGTTGCATTGTCAAACTGAGCCCATTTTTTTGGGCGTCTGGATTTGCCTTTATGGTTGAGTACCCTTTCATTCACTCATTTTTTTAATGCATTTGCTGTGATCTCTAACCTTAATGAATGCCTTGTAAGTCGGTCTCTTTGAAATAAAAACTCTTGACGCTCCTATTTTTGGATGTAGAAGGTAGCTGGAGAAACGCGGGGTGGAAAACAGCGGGATTTGGAGTCTTACCCCAAATCCACACTGGATGCATCAGCGGCACAGAATAGCAGCGGAATAGCAGTTCACTGCTTCAAATAAAATCCATTATAGTCTAATGGGATCATCAGGCGAGTCCCAAAACCGGCTCATCACGCCGCTAAAGATAGGATTGTGTTCTGTTTATGCTAAAAGTCGCTTCTGGGACACATCAACTTTCAAATTTAACATAGAGCTAGACCGGAAATCGCACAGTTTCAGTGTAAAACA